CTGCTCCTCTATCGCCGCACCCCCGCCCGCGCTCGCTCCGCTCACCGAAGTACCATCGGAGCGCCTCTGCGCCGTCACCGCACCACTACTGTCACTGTCACCTTTTACCACCACTGTTACTACTGCTGTCGTCGTCGTCGCCGTCGCCGTCGTCGCCGTCGCCGTCGCCGTCGCCGTCGTCGTTACCGCCGCCGCTGCCGAAGTCGCCGCTACTACGACGGGCTACTATCGCCACCGACGTGCACGGCACTGCGCTACCACCTTTACGGTTTTCGCCACTTTTCCACACGTTCCATCCCCGTCACGTACATCGTTCCAACGCGGTCTCGTTTCACTGATTTTCGCGTGTCGTAGGCGCGGCGGAGGCTATTTCACGACACTATACGGCGACACCGAGTCCTAGTTCCGGAGCAAGCTGTCTCGAGCAACTCCACGATCGTGCATTCTCTTCCCTATGTCAACTCCCTTTCGCTCTTTCTTTTCCATACACATACACAAAGTACACACACACACACTACTCTTGGATGCACGTTTTCTTGCTTTTCTCGTCTTTCTCTTCCGCCTTATTACGAGGGTATTTCGCGACGCAGTCGTTTCGCCAGGTCGTCACTGCTTTCAATCCGTTGCGAACCGCGCTCCACCACGCACTACCCGCTAACCCGCGACCGCGATCAGGTTGGGATGTGGGATGTGGGATCGCTGGATGGAGTCAACCGCCGCGTGACGGGACGCGGTCGGCAATTTCCGTCGCCATGCACGAATCCGCCACCAGTGCTGGGTGAATTGCGGGCGTTCGCAGCACCCCGGCTTCTTGCGATTCCTACCGAAAAAATTCATCGCTCGCCTTGTCTTTAAGGTTAGGAAACGATCGTCTTTTGCAACGTCGATCCATTCGTCGTAGGCCATCTGGGCGTTCTATTTTGCGATCATTGGACTTCCTCGTTTCGAAAACGCAGAAACATTCGACTTTTCCTCGATTGGCGATCCGATTCTGCCGATTAGAGACTGATGACTTCCGCCAGAAATTTACGTAAACAAGATATTCTGTAACCGAGTTGTATATATCGTTAATATAAAAAATATTTCGAACAATATTCGACATTTGTTTATGAAAAAAAAGTCTTATTTGTAGAACACAAACATTAATTAGTAATCCATTAACAAGTGAATACGTTCTGTTCTAATGTAAACAAAAGAGCTCCGTGAAAATAATCAAGTTAAATTTCTCGATTATTTAAATACGTATTTTTTGTGAATCCGAATAATTTTTCATTGTCGTTTATTATTACGATATTTTAACATTATTATACATTTTTTAAGTAAAAAAATTTTGAGAAATGTACGATCTATCTTTTTTATTAATAATTTTGTTATTAATAATGTTTACTTTCTAGAAATATGGTTTCAAAAAAAATATTTCTACAAATATTTTTTGCACTCACTGTTATGCATTGGCGGCGCAATAAATAATTTTAATCGCTCGTTTATTTATTGAATAGAAATCCGAAAAATTTCGTTGAATATCTCAAACCTACTAGTATTCGAGCGATTGTGCCAAAACTTTTTCAATGTTTTATATCGGTTTAATCTCGTTTTATCCCATGTTTACGTTCTCTCAACCGCAAAACATGTAAAATACATAAAGATAATAAAAGAGAAATCCACGGATTATGTTGTATCAGTTGATTATCTCTTATTTTATTGTTTCGATAATCCCCCATTTATATTTTTGTTACTCTTGCTTTTTGACTTTTGAAACATGTAGATATCTTTTATATTTTTATCGAACAAAGTAAATTTCGTCTTTGATCCTAAAACATCTAAATACGTATGTATACCGACTGAAAGAATACATGACTATGATAAAACGACAATAATTATCTACTTCACAGCCCGATTTAAGATTTCTAATCTTTAGAAATTAGCTAATTAAAAATTAAAAATTTTTTTAAATTTAAAAAAATTATGAAACTTTGACAATACAAAGAAGATATCCTGACATGTAGTAATCAATTTTGTTTTCTGCCTGAATTCACTCTGAAGGAGTAAAATCAACTTTTGAACATTATTTTGTGTTTTTATTTTATTATTCACCAACAAATAGGAGATAGAGTAAAATTTTAAAGAGAAAATTTGGTAAATATATAGATAAAGGGAATCTAATTTGACATATTGTCAAAGTCATGGCCCTAAGACTAATTCTACAATGTGCTCTTTGTTTCCTGTTTCTTGCTGTTTGTCTCTGTTTGTCTCTTGCCTTTTTGATCAATAAGACAAGAGACAAACAGCAAGAAATAGAAAACAAAAAGCACATTGTAGAATTACCCTAAGTGACCTCTAAGAGATTTTAGTTGATATTCATTAAAAAGTTATTAATAAAAGAAGTTTAAGACATATCGTTTTATTATTAGTACATACAATACAATATTAAATATACTATACTTTACACTCTTTACTTACAGGGCATAATGAGGGACTTTTCCACGTGAAGCTAAGCTACCCCCCTCCCTCCTCCCTCCAGTTTAGGGACGTAACGATACTTCATGCGATCTTACTTCGCGTGGAAAGTTGTGCGTCTCTGCATCAAATATTTTAACAATGAATTTTATAGATGAAAAATGAATTTTATAGATATCTTCTTTTCTGTATACACACTTAACATAAATTCTATATCATTTTGATTAAATGTTATTTTGATTAAATGCTATTTAAAAAAAAACTCGTTTCTTTTTTAGTTGATACTTTTCTCCGAAATAAAAAAAAACCTACTTAGTTGATTAAAAATAAAAAAGATTGTATTTTCCATCTATTGTTTTAAGGAATAAAAGCCTAAAGTTTCGTAAGAGAAAAGCGTCAATTCAAAAAAAATTTACGACGCTACTTCGCGCAGAAAGTACGGATTTTAACTCGATGTTTTCACGGTTCGCTCATCCAACATTGTCGGGTCTTCGCAATGTTAGCTTCGACGTCGCTATATAGAGCACGAGCGTAACAGTTTCCACCGTCGGTGATTTCCATTCTCCTTTCGCGTCGCGCCGCGCCGCACCGTGTCGTGCCGTGCTGTGCTGACTCTCGTTCGAAAAAGTATGAAAACAATAGGACTGTGTCGGGGCCAGACTGGTGAATTACAATCGCGCTTGTGGGACCGGAGCGAGGACGAACAATTCCTAAAGTTCTAAGCACTTTCACGCGATTACGTCAGATGCATGACTTTAAAAATTTGCTTTAAAAACAAAATAATATTTACCCGCCGACGAGCAATCGCGTCTCATTCGGTCGGGCTGCAAATATATTTGGCTAAATATAACAGACGTACAGTTTTTATCCCCACTCTGGCGACATGATTTATAATAATGTATTATATTACTCGCACACGGAGTTGTCTTCCTCTCCCTCTCTTTCTTTCTCGTGGAAAACTTCTTTTCTGCTGCGCAACGCATGGTATATTTAAAAACAGGCTTCGCAATTTAGTATGTAATATTAAACTGAATAGCAATCGATTGCCACGTGGCGAAAAAATTCCACTCGCCTCGATGCTCATAAAAGAAGAAACCAACGAGACGGCAATGAAATCTAAATAATACTTTATATATATATATATATATATAGATATATATATATATATATATATAGATATATATATATATATATATATCTATATATATATATATATATATCTATATATATATATATATATATATATCTATATATATATATATATATATAGATATATATATATATATATATAGATATATATATATATATATATATCTATATATATATATATATATATATCTATATATATATATATATATATATCTATATATATATATATATATATATATCTATATATATATATATATATATCTATATATATATATATATATATAGATATATATATATATATATATATCTATATATATATATATATATATATATATCTATATATATATATATATATATAGATATATATATATATATATATAGATATATATATATATATATATATCTATATATATATATATATATATAGATATATATATATATATATATAGATATATATATATATATATATAGATATATATATATATATATATATCTATATATATATATATATATATATCTATATATATATATATATATATAGATATATATATATATATATATAGATATATATATATATATATATATAGATATATATATATATATATATATCTATATATATATATATATATATCTATATATATATATATATATATATCTATATATATATATATATATATCTATATATATATATATATATATCTATATATATATATATATATATCTATATATATATATATATATATAGATATATATATATATATATATATCTATATATATATATATATATATCTATATATATATATATATATATATCTATATATATATATATATATATCTATATATATATATATATATATATATCTATATATATATATATATATATCTATATATATATATATATATATCTATATATATATATATATATATATATATATATATATACATATATATGAAAAATCATATACATACCCTGAAATAAATATTCCATTAAAAAATAATAAACGTTTTATGGAAATATATGGGTAGTTGCTATATATTGCCCGTTATTGTACGAATGATAGAAATTAATTTTTAGAAATATTATTATTGTTTCATTTCCATACAATTATAATCGTGATTGATGTCTTTTATAAGCTTCTCAAAAGTCAAACCAATCGGCACTGTTATAAATAAAAATAGAAAAAATTTGTAAAATTGTGAATAATTGTTAAAATTGTAAAAAATTTAGAAAATCAGGATTAATCGGTTTAATTTTTGATGTCAACTAATTTTCGATTAATATAGATTAACTTTAAATTGAGCAGGAAGTATTTTACTGCTAAATTTTTTTAAGTGAGAGAATCTTACTCCATAGAATTTAAAGATTACTTATTTATTCATTTATGTCTATTCATTAAATTTATTTATTTAAATTTAGTTATTTATTATATTTTGTTATTTTAAATTAACTTTAATTTCGGTTCAATTTACTTCTTATATTTTTTTTAATTCCAATATTGTAAGAATTAAAAAAAGAAGATAAAGAATAAATTAAAACAACATTGAAATTTATCTACATTTATGTAGAAATGAACATGGGTAGATTTCTTTGGTTTATCTGAGATTGTTTTTTCGATACTGATATAATTTCGTATCTCGGCCTGCCGGAGCTACTTGCCATCACGTTACGCGCCGTAAGAAGTGACACAATATAATAAAAATAAGAAATCTTAAATCGGCCCGAGCTCGCATGGCGGAATATCTTCCCGTTTATGAGCCAAGTGAAACCGGATCTTCGAGAGAAGGCGGTGTGTCAGTGCCAATATAAAGACAGTCGGCGCGAAATACTTCTAATTTGGTGCACGCCGGAATCGTGCGAAACGAATGCGGAACTTTCTGACCCCGCCCGCGAATAATTTTAGGCAAATTTTAAACCATGAGCCATTTTTAACAATCAATCATGATCCAATTGTGCCTCAGCAACGATATTGACGACAATACCTGAATCGAATTTACTGCCTGATATTAAATAAACAAGTATTACTAACGAAAAATTAATAAAGAATGGTCAAAATTCTGGAACAGGTAAAATTAGGAACAAAATTGAGAAGAAAAAAAGATTAATGGGAATGCTTTGAAGAGCACTTTTGTTAAACTCTTTGATCTATTTCTATTTTTCATTGACAATGAATAAAAAGTGTAACGAACACTACTAAAACGAATATATATGTATACTTCCTATTCTTTATCGAATATAATTGAAACAAAATTTATATAGGGCACAAATACATTTTCATGTACAAATTTTGTAGTAGAATTATTTGCTTTTAACACAGAACTGCAAACAGTAAAGTTTTATTTATTTCCTATTTGGCGTTTTAAATCAGAAAAATTTTCTCTTTGATGTTTTGATTTTTTAAATTTTTTTGAATGAAATTTCACTCTTTGGAAATAAGATTTACGTCAAAAATTTTAGAGAGAGATCTGTACCTTTATTACTTTCTTCTTTACCTTTAAATCAACCTAAATCCTTATCCAGAAGTTGACTTTTATGAAACTAATGTAATAGAATTTTTTTGTGAAATTTTAGGATACCATAGGATTTTATTTTTTAAGAATTTTTAAAAATTATTGATAAGCAAATATCTGTTACATGCAAAAAAAATTATCAGACTTGGATAAGTTAATATTTTTTTTTTTTATAAAATTAACGAAGTTATGAACGTTCAAGTACGCTTCGCGAAAAATAATTGCGCGCAGAACAAAGATAATCTTTTTCGAACGTTTTGTGAGTCGTCATTTGTGAGTATTATACATGAAGATATACTTGTATTAATGAATACGAAAAGTCGAAATAGCAATGAAATTTATAATCAGCTGATATGAGAAATCAATCCAAAAATTATTCCAATTAAAGTAGATTAAAAACTATCGAACCTGCTGCACGTATCCTCTTGCATGTTTAACGAAGTTAAATCCCCACAGTATTGTTACAAATGTTTGAGTCTATAAAGGTACAAATGCCCACCGATATGTGGCGACAGAGAATGCAGATTAAAACTACCACACGCAGCAAGCTATACGAGAAGAAAGAATGTTTCGTCGGCAGCATTAAAGATATAAATGTTTCGGAGGCTACAACCTCATCAGAACATTTATTATATGGACCGATAATACATATGAGTCTATGTAAGTTAAATTATGTAAGTTAACACAAATGATCATTTTATTTAATTGTATGGCTGTCTTGAAATTTTAAACACTTTTTTTTAGAAATCGCATTTTCAAAATCAAGTCAAATCGGTGATCAAGATATTTCGGAAACTGCTGCATTAATTTATTTTAAACTTTGCAGGTTTATTTTAGATATAAAAATGTAGTCCTTGAATAAATGATTTTTTTTCTGATATGACATATAGGTTTTTTTATTAATGAAAAATAAGCGATACTTTTTTTAACAAAAATTAAAATTTTAACTTTTAACGTTTGTCATTTTCCAAATCAATATTTCGAAAAATTGTTCGTTCAAAAATTAGACAATTTAATATAATAAATAAATCTTTTCAATTAACTCATTATTTTTTAAGTAACTGTAAGTATTATTTTCCAGAATCATAAACTTGTAACGGTAATTATTTTATATTTTGAGAATAAACCGTAAATGTAACTAATTACTTTCACAAAGTAACTTTCCCAATCCTAGATTTTTCTTTTCAATGTTTGGTATGCAGAAGTCTTTTAAGTACGAAAAAAATTACAGGTGCTATTTATATACGTTGATCAATGTATTTAAGGATGTATATATTTTACACATATTTTCAAGTATTCTTTAAGTACTTCAAGTTGATATAAAATTTTATTGCAATCTGATTACATCGCAGTGAAACTTAATTTGCCTAAATCATATTAAATATTTCATATTAAATATTTCACTTATGCAAAAAATTGAAAGTTTTATCATTATTTTTTAAATTAGTTTATGAAGACGCTACTAACATTCAGGAAGCTGCGATTCATCTCGTTTATAGCCTAGATCCAAGTAAAATTCGACCTCCTCTAACTTTGGTCG